GGGGGGGGGGGGGGGGGCAGTGGGTGTAGAGGCCAGGGCTCTCCCAGAAACGAAAATGATGGCAGGGATAGGGCAAGTAGCTGCCACGGAAGCAGACAGAGCTGCCGCCCGCTTATTGTCACACGAAGTACGGAAAAACAACACACGAACGAGAAGTCGAAGCTCAAGAATATTCAAACGAAAATTGAACACGAATGATACAGGTAAGCTTTACGTACAAGCACATGACGTCGGGTACTGCTGTGTGCAGGCAGTGTGGACAATTGTAAGCCACAAAATCATGATATGCTTGTTTTCCTTGTTCAAAAATCGAACCAAAACAAAACGGGACGTCGCGCGTGTGCATATCCTGCAATAGCGGCACCAAACATAACTTGTTGGATGAATCGATTGTTGGCACAATATACGTGGACGATTCTCAACAGCAAAATGAAAAGAACCGGTACCCGAGACGTAGCAGTAAAAAGCACGAGCGCCGCGGCTGTGCTCCATATCGCAAAGGAACCCGCGCAAGCACTTACTATTTCTGCTCCAAAAGTCACGTCCCGAAACAAATAAAGAACGCACAATATAAGTGCACGTGACGACCCTCGCTGACAATCAAAACGTGAAATCGACCACCGGCTGCTGTGATCAAATCTCGTGGACCATCGAAACGCGGTCATCGGCGTCACGACGGATGGAGGTGTACACAGCAAAACAAGACTAACACAACGCGGGGGAACGGTGACTACTCAACACCACCATCGCAATCATCGTGTACTCCACCCGCTGCTCATCAATCGCCCGCACCAAAAACAGATACAACACATGAAAAAAAATAATGGTAACCGAACACGCAGTAGTAAGTAGCAAACACGCGAGAGCCTTTTGACAAAACAAAAAACATCCCGCTAGAAGCTACTTGTAATACAGAAGTTGTCACTTTCACGGAGGACATTTGTCAAAAGTAGCACCGAAAGGGTTACGGCGCGGACAAGTAAACAAGCCTGTGGTTTGTATGCAAACGGCCTCTCTGCAAAGCCAGAAAAGAGCAAACATCTACTCAGAACAGGCGTAATTTAGTACTCCGAGAAGTAACGAACGACAGAACGTACAAATCCAAACCATCAAGTTGCTGCACCTATTGTATAGCGTTCCCGCCCCCCCGCCCCCCCACCTCCCCCCTAACCGATCTCCAGCGGAACGGTCACATGGGATACGATTCCAGATCATCTCCCTTTGAACATGGAAGTTTTTGATTGCGCTCCCTCTGCCCCCGCGGCCCAGAAAGAAACAACCCGTGAACAATAAAAGTTTGAACACCGGACAAATACCCCGAAATTATAATGTACTTCCCAATACTAATAATTTGTCATGTTTCGCAAAAACAAGCTCATCCAGGAAACAAATCGCAACTTGTTTTAGGTCACCACGGTTTTCATACCGCAAACCGTCGAAAGCGAAAACGTAGGCCTTCAGATGAAAGCGCAGGCGCCGCATACAGCACAGTCGGCCGGTGCGACCCAATCGATCGAAACGTGCTAGCGGACCATTCAATCGCCCAAGCACCGTGCCGCTCTTTGTGAGCAACGACATCGATTCTCAACGTTCAACGCATACTGCCCTTGGATATTTCCCTGCTGCCTACCTGGCCGCCTGGCTATATCTGGTCCATGTATGAACGTATGTTGTACCTCCCGCGGAACGAAGAGAACGCCATGGCACCAGCGAGCGCAAGGCTTCGACATGCCACGGAACACGAACACAACAACATCACGCAAAAAAAGCAACGGTCCCAACAGCGATCCATGCCCCACCCAAATCGAACCCTTCGGTTCGCTGGGACAAAACACACCTGAGAGCACGAGACAGTGAGACAGCAGCAGCGCGACAAGACTTCTTAGAAAACACACTCATTCATCTGTCGTGGCAAGCTCGTGGCGGGCGACGGAAGAGCATTGAGCGCGCTCCCGCCACAAAATAAAAAAGAACAACTTCGCTATCTCTCGTCTTCTTAATCCAGCACGGCCGGCGTGCGTCGCTCGCCCTCACAGCTCACGCCCACCGGTTACACCAGCTTGCGGTGCCACCCCACACATGACTCTCGCTCTCCCTCCCTGCCACACCGCCTTCTTCAAATGGGTGAGAAATGGCATCAAAACACAGCAGCAGTCGAATCCACGGCACCCAACCCGGCATTGCAAACCCAGAAGCAAAGCAACAGATGGAGCCGAATAAAACCAAAAATGAGGGGGCCGACTCTTCGACAAACCGCAAGTTTGCGGTCGTGCAGGGCTAGTTTCCTTGCAAAATCAAACACAGCGGCAAATGCCGCCTCCTCGCTCTGCTCTCGCTGCCACTACTGTACTTGCTCAAAACGACCGCTATCAGCCATGTTTTGCCTCAAGGTCAGCCGCCGCTGCCGCCATCGCGGCCGCTTCAAGCTCAACGGTGCCTCTCTTAACACCAGTCCTTCAACCCGGACGGGCAAGGGACGCAGCCATCGCCCTCGTAGTCCGTACAGTCGAACTTGCACATGCGGCACCCCTCCCAGCCTTCCGGCTGGCACCAAAGGCCGCCCATCGAGGGGAACAGGGCGTCATACGGGTCCGAGCCGTCCATGCACTCGAGGTCACAGTACATGGACTTCCCGTTCTCGCAGAAGTAGGCAGCGAAGGCCGGTTCCAGCTCGGCCGTGCCGCAGTCGCAGCCTTCGATTTCCTGCGACGGGGGGGGCACGGGGGAAGGGGGCAACTAGCGGTGTCGATTTCTTGCTGTCAAAAAGTGTGTTCGTGTTGTGAAGGACTACCAGTAGTTTCAAGGTGGTTTCTTGGGGTAAGGTAGCCTGTGACCGACCGCGTCAAGTGTTGCATCAGTGCGGACAGATGAAGGTACTGGGTACAGAGATCGAAACGGTTTGCAACATGAAGAACACAAACCCAGCAACAACAACAACAAGCTCGCAACGAAGAATACAAGTTGTATGCATGCACGTGGATGGCGTGTTGTGCAAAACAAACGCCCTCTGGTTCGGTGCACGCACCCGGGAGCTACGCCCGGTGTGATGACCACATCACAAAAAAAAACACGCCGGTACATCCACCGCCACAGCAGTGGATTGTGGGGTACGTGGATGATCAACATTTTCAGCAAATTGGACACATGTCCTGCGCGTTTCGCGCCTGCCTCAGGCGCACACCCACTGCGGTGGCCCCAACCAACACTGCCGTTATCCTGCTACGACGAGTCCCCGCTTGCTGCGACACTCACCGCCACCCTGCTCGCGTCCCCGCTTCCGCTGGCAGTAGCCGTGCTGCTCGACATGCTCCCGGCACCGCTGCCGTTGCCGCTGCCGTACTCGGCGGTCACCCCCTCCGACGCGCTGTCGAGCGCGCTGCCCGACGCTGTGTCGCCTGGCGTACCGGCGGTGGGTGGCGCGGCGGGGCGGAGGCCAAAGACAATGCAGAGTGTGCGTTGGACGCTCGTGTTACGCACCATCACGAATGATGATGCGCTCGCGCTACACGACGTTCACACCGGCCGATCAGTATTGTAGCCGCCGCTTACCGCGAACAACGCAACATTTGCACACCATGTCGGTGGTAGTACGTCACGCCACTTCATGATCTGGGCAGACACGGCAACTCTTCAAGAACTTCCCTGTTCGAGCGTGTCTTTTGTTATTTCCTCGGCGGAACAAAAAAAAATGAATCTCTTGATGACGTGTCTGTCATCAGCTCAGTTGTATGCGTACCCCACGTACCCTTCGTGTTTTGGGTTCGGGCTTAACATCGTACACAAAAGGTTTTGGTCGGAGGTTAGGTCACCTGCACAATTTTTTAAACGCAAAATCATTCCAAGGGATAGAATTAAGTTAATTTTCCCGGTGTGAACTGACCGCCATGGTGGGCGGCCCTAGTGCCGCCTTTCTTCGTTTTTATCGCCGAAGCCAACGTTGTTTTCCCAAGAAAAACGCAAACCGCCTGCATTATCTCCAAGCAAAGCACTTCAACTGGAAGGAGCGCTACCGCCCCACCCGTGATCCCGCCTCAAGAAGACCTATCAACACGAGCCCTGTTGCGAAAAACATGTCTTCCGTACCAACGCGTGTAAGGCTCAAAAAGGCATCGATGCAACAACAGCAAACGCTCACCGGCAATTCCGCCCGAACCGCTGCCGGCACCGCTGGCGGTGCTCGACATCGACCCGCCACCAGCCCCGCTGCCATATCCGTATGCGGAGCCCCCCTGCGACAATTCGGACCCCCCCCCGGCCCCGCTGCCGGATCCGTACGCGGAGCCCCCGCTGGACATGGACCCGGAACCGGCCCCCATGCCGTACACGTCGTCCTCGCATTGGGCCATGTCGGTGATGCCGACGCCGGAACAGAACGTGATATAGTCCGCGGGCGAGGAGGTTTCTTCCATGAACCTGTGAGTACAGTAGTTTTTTGTTTTTTTTTTGTGGCGGAGGTGGGTGGTGCCTTTAGTGTGTGTGTCTGTTTGTGTGTTAGTTCATAGAGCGGACCAACACGCGTGTTTATTCATTCCCGGACACCTTGAAGTGTATGAATCACGGCGCGCGTAGGGGGAGGAGGGGGGGGGAGCGTACTCTTATGTTTTGCATGCCTTAGCGATTATACCATTGACCACGCGTCCTCGAGAGGACGGAGCATTGTTCCCACAGGACCGATCACCGATGGCCAATCGTTCCTTTCTACTTTGCCAAAGGTGGCTCAAAAATGTCTTCCCTAGTCTGTCTATCCTAACGATATCCCTTCCCGCCTTTTCAACCCACCTCCTATGCCCCAGTACAGCTACCGTCCTTTCCTCTCTATTCCATGCCTCAAACATCTCCCTGTACGTTCCATCTATTTTTCCCAGCTCAGTCACGTACACTTCCCTCTCCTTCTTGTACAACGGACATTCCGCGACTACATGAACACGGTCTTCGCATTCGAAGCCGCAATCACATTTGAACTCGTCGTCTTCCTCGTCTACCGTCCTATCTCTTCGTCGACGTTCTCGAAGGCCTATGTCCCCGG